ATTCCAGTGAAATATACTTATGTTTGTGGTTGTAATGTGACAAAATATGGAAAAGTTCAAGGGGTATGAATACTTTTGCAAACCACTGTACTGGTTCCAGTTTTGCACTAGGTTGCAATCAGGTCAGTTTGTTTATTACAGTGTTATCTGACAATGTTTTTATGTTTGTTCATACTGTGAAATGCTTAGAATGTAGCAAATGTACACTACTACTAGAAATGGGCTGTTTGAACGCCTGTTAGAATAAGATCTGTTCTTAAATAAAACAAAATGAGAAATGTTCAGTATGTTGGTTTGAATTACATAAACATAAATATTTTAAATACAATGTTTCTTTATATAAAATTATTATGATTATCAGTTACAAATACAGCCATTTACAGTTGAAAGTATTGGCAGTACAATGTAATACAGTACATACCAGGTCCAATCTTTACAGTGAGCTGTAAAATAATTCAACTTCAAAGTCTGTCCAATGAGCAAAAAACTTATATTGTGTCTTACTCCTGGGTTTTGTCATATGTTAATGGAATGAACTGCAAAAACATTTTACAAAACACTTTCTAAATTCTTGTGCTAACACACACACAGTGCTAAGTATAACATTTTATGTAGAACAAGACAATGTAATCTACTAAATCTTTCAAACAGATTTTTGTGTTTATGGATCCAAAAACTGATTGAGGACTCTCCTGACCCGCTTTCCTTCTGCTGTCAAGCTGTCTCCTCTGACCACTGTTTCCGGTTGATTGTTCCCGTCATGCTGAATAGCTTCAGTTATGCTCTTTTCATTCACAGTGTCTTTTGATGCCTCACAGAAATTGTGCAACACAAAACATGCATAAATAGCAAATGGAAGATCATTCAGATTAATGTCTATGGCTCTTCTCAGGGCTCCAAATCGGGCTTTTAGTCTTCCAAACGCACATTCAATCACCATACGTGCTCGGCACAATGAAAGTCCAAAAGTACTGCTCCTGAACATTGCTTCCCCCGTTGGTATATTCTTTCATCAGGTAAGGCAGTAGTGGGTATGCGGGGTCACCCAGTATGTAGACGGGTATGGGATCTTCGTTCTCCACAATTTGTCTTGGACAGGGGGTAATCTTCATGTGTTTCAGATTTGTGTTTATTGTGGAGTTGGAAAATACTCTGGCATCATGTATACTCCCTGGCCATTTTACAACAACATCAATAAAAGAGTACTTGTAATCACAGGTGGCTTGTATGTTAAGGGAAAACCTCCCCTTCCTATTTAGTTACTCTGTAGAATTGGCTGATGGCTGCTTGATCTCCACGAGTCCCATCCACAGCTCCAAGGCACTGAGGGAGACCATACGCCTGCTCAAATACCTCCACAAGTGCATGCACAGCAGTCTCTGTTGTTGGCATTTTGATGTATGACGGTCCCAAGTACACAGTTATAGCCTTACACACCTGTCTAACTATTTTTGAGACTACCTGCTTTGACAATCCAAATGCATTGGCCGTTTTACGTAGTCTTCCCTCATCAGCCAAATAATACAGGGTGCATGCAACTTTTTTGACCACACAAACTGGAGATCGCATTACAGTAGTTTCCCCTTCAATGTAAGGACGAAGTAACTCCGAGAGTGACAGTAATGAAGTCCGTGACATTCTGAAGTTCTCCCGCCATTCCTCAGGGAGAGCGATTTCCCTCTCAAAGTTTTCCCACCAGCCAGCAGTGCGTCCAGGTCTGATCCAAAACCRGCGACGGCGGCGTTGAATGGTGGCACTGTGCCTCCGTATCGGAATGGATAGTTGCTGTAAAATAGCTGACCTCCAAGCGCTTCTTCTCCTTTGTAATTCCATATGTTGGAGCAGCTGTGCTTGCAAAAACAAACAAGCAAAAACCGCCTGAACCAACGTTACAATCAGCGCTTCTCTAAACGCAACCATTTTACCTCCTCTGAATGGGCAAAGAAACAATTGTCGCACATGTGACGTCACCGCCGCACTAACTGTCGCAGACATAATGCGCGAATCTCCGGTTAATAATGTCCACAAGCAAACGCCAAGGAGGAGAAAACGCAAATCTCCACTTTGGTTGGAGTTTTTGCTATCCTTCGTTTTTAGTTAAACCAAACGGAGTTCACGTGTGGATGAAAGGCCTAACCGCAAAAAAAAACTATTCGGTTTTCCTGATATCCGGGTACGTGTGTACAGGGCCTCAGTATACTTGTATGGTGATGGGACACATGACCCTCTATGAACAATAGAGCTAATCAAGCCTATTGTTAGGCGATGGCCCTCTTTTGCATGTGACCAACCTGTTTGTCCACCATGTGGAGGCAGTGCTTATAAGGCTGAGTTCACCTGAAACTCATCAGACTGAAGAAGTCTCTTGGAGGAGAGACGAAACGTTTCACTAAAGAAGAACCCATCCAGAGGACCTACTTATTTTTCTTTTTAATAAACTTGTATGGCTTTCCATTAAGAACTTTTCCAATAAAATGTACATACTCCAGATTTTAGAGCCACCTAACAAGAACAAATCTTTTGGTTCACTCTGTGAAGTTGTTTCACAATGATCTCAAGAATTTCTGCTATTTATTTGGTGAGTTAAGACAAAAATTATTGATTTAAAATAATTAATCAAAAGGTTTTTGACAAAAAATCAAAGTAAAATGTGATGTTGTGTCATTTTCACTGATTAAGTTTCATAAAAATTATCATAAGACGTGACCTTGGCTATTTAGGGTCGATTTTGATTTTACAGTGATCCTCAGAGGCAAACTGAGATGCGCGTCTTTCTCATTTTGATTTTGTACACCAAGTTTACTGTCCTCCATCTGAGAAACAAGAACTCTCGCCACATCACAACCTTTAGGAACTACGCTTCAGGCGGAATAAAGGAAAGTCCAACTGTAAGTGTGGTTTGAGTGTGCCAGTTCACCAGTTTGGTGGTCTTCCTCTGAAGGTTGTTAATTAGTGCAGAATGTAGACTACAGTTCTGCTGCCAGCACTGATAAAAAGAGGAAAGAGAGAGAGGGAGAGAGAGAGAGAGGGAGTAAACCGTACAGCTGCCAAGACGGAGGAGTTTCTGATAGGTTGAGCGCGGTGGACCAAAGCATGGAGACTCCTGGAGTTCTGCCTCCTGACCCATGTGTCTGCTGCGGGCCCATTGAGCCCATTGAGTCTGATGGCCACGTACAGTGAACCAGTGTTGACTCAAGCAGGAAACACAGTGGGAAGTTTTAGAGCTTAGAATGTGGTAAAAGGAAGTGATTTGAATTACAGTTTGAATTTTTGCATTTTAGATTATTTTCGATTTTCACTACTTGTTTTGTTGATTTTTCATCTTTTATTGTTAAATCTGAAATTGAGCAACAAAAAATGGCTCAAAATTCACGTTGTGCAGATTTAAACTTAAAACCATGTTCCACTAATTGAATTATTCTGCTACATTCACAGTACCAGTAAACTATGTTGTGTTTGTTTATGTTTTTCATGATGATGTAAAAAAAAACATAGTTAAAATAGTTACATGACATCATTCTTCCAAAGTTCACCACTTGTCGTATTTTCTGTTTAGATTCTTCTATCTTAATTATGTCTATGTGCTTCTTCCATTCTTTGTTCTCATATAAAATGTGTTTTATTATTGCCAAATTCCATTTAAGATATTTCCTTACACTTTTTTATGGGTTTGTGTTCAAGTTCTTTCAGTTTCTATCAAAAACAGCACTGCTTCATTGTGTCAGAGTTGGGCACCGTTGGTCCAGGTTCCTCCAAAAAATCTGACAGAGTCAAGAACAACCTGAGCTGAAGGTCAAYGCTGGAGGTGAGGCAGAGTCCTGCGTTCACCCCGGGACCTTCAGAGTTCAGTAAAAAAAACAAAAAAAAACATTATAGATAATATTTTTATTCTAACCTAATAAAAAGCTGAAGAGAGAGACAGAAGCTGCTTAAGTAGCCCTCAAAAACAAGCTACAAATTAATGGATACTTTTGTTACAAGATGGTTTTGCATTTTTGTTTGGCTCATGCATCATGACACCTTAAGCAACTTAAAGTT